TCTTTGATACAGCTGGTCAGCCTAAACTCGACTGCAATTATTTTTTCTTCTTGATTCGTTTGAAGCTACAGCGGAGATCTATTCAAACAGCCTCAAGGCAAATACTCCGGGAAAAGTGCCACTGAAAAAATCAAAAATAACAACCAACCTGTTTCACTATAGCATCTAAGTCATCTACAACGTCTTGTAAACGCTCACGAAGACTTCGATCATCCGACATTCAGAAGCTAAAACTGATATACTGTTTCAACACATACGACAAGCAAAAATATTTTGTGCACAAAAAACCAGCAAAAACAGAGGTGACATTTCATAAACGTGACGATGCAAAAGTATGACTTCACAGTCAACCAGAAGCAATATATTAAAATGGCATATAAAAAAGGGCCGCACGAGTTAAATGAAGAAGTTTCTACCAAATCCCACCAAATAAAGAAAGAAGAAAAAAACTAAAGGCGCTGAAGTAATCTCTAAAAAGTGTTTTAGACCGTACTATTTCTACAGATAACTGCCCGATGCAAAGCAACAGGCAATACAAACAGCAATGTAAAGTATGTGTCCGTACAAACGGCTATGACGGATAATCACCATCGGGGTACATAATACAGCGCCAAGCAAAATACAACAGCCCACTTTGGTGTACAAATACTCGAACTCATTCAAAAAAAAAAAAAATTTGCTTGATAAACACACTTAACAGCTGGCAAAATTCCAATTTCTGTATCGGGTTTGCTTGTAATAGCATCACTGACCTGCTACTTCAGTATCACATGTGCTTATTGTAGGGGCACAGTCGACTGTCCGCACTAGTTTTGAACTGCTTATGATCATTTTCTATGCTATTATATCAGTCTGTTCATAATTATTTTTCAGTTGGACGACTCCTTTTTACTGCTTTAAGACGTCCCCATTATTTGCTGTTGGTCTGTTTTTGGCATTTTTGGAAAAAACGACTGTTTAAGTCAAGTGGTGGTTGCAGAGTTTGATTTGATTAACGAATCCTTTTCTCATTGTTATTCACTGCTCAGTACCCGTCAGCTTCATGCTGATCTTAGAAATTAGTAAGATAAGTATTATAGCTGATTGAATGTTGTCAGAACCGATGAGATTCGAGGAGAAATACATTTGAATTAATATTTTCAGTAAGCTGATTCTTCACTAAGCATTTTCTTTTCATAGTCTCATGTTTTAATATATTTGAAAAAATTTTTGCTTTTATTTTATCGCTTGCTTGCTGTGAAGGTTTTGATGTTGTTGATGATCTAATTTCTTTAAAGTAATTATTTATATTTATTAAATGCAGCAAAAAAAGGCTGCTGTATTAGTTAAAGTCTTTATTTTTGATTACTGACTTTAAGGAAGCAACAGGAGATTTGGAAAAAATTCAAAAGTTTATAATCCTTAGGTCAGTTTTGAGGATTTGAAGGAAAAAAAGTTAAAGGCTCAAGCCACTATTTTTTTATTGAAAGTTAGTTTTATTTGCCTTAAATCTGATAAAGTGATTGCGTTGTTTCATGGGTTCCTTTTTTTTTTTTAATTCGAAGACGGATTCTACTTGAAGGTTTCCTATAAAAGACTATAAATAATTTTTATGAAAATATTAAGACAGTACTGTTTTTTGAACCCTTTTAGTTTTGCAGTTATTTGAAATTTACCGGCAAGTTCAGTTACTTTTTATCGAAGAAAATTTGATCGGGTCCAGTCGATTTTGCTATATCATGGAAAAGTTTTTTTTGTTTAACCACTGAAGTGGAATTTAATCATTTTTGCTAAGGAGGTGACCTTTTTTTTTAAAAATTTAAAAGTGCTGTTTCTGTTTTCTTTGAGTAGTTTTTTATTACTTTTTTATTTTGTTATATAAGACTTCCTTTGTTGTTACATATTTTTCGTTTGACTTCATATTTTTAGCTTACCTGTAGTCATTATATTCAGCATAACAACGACTGTTGATCGATCTACTGGCTGTCAGGTTTTAAACGTTTTTAATGATTTATAATGGACTTTTTATTTAGTAATTCTATGCATGTATAATAGCGAAACAAATGTTGGATTACGGGGCGAGAACATTTGTATTGTGCATTACTTAGGACTTCTTGAAAGTGTTGCACCATCTAAAGATAAGATTGGTTTTGCTGGATCGGCAAAGTCGTTGGAAGGACGAAGCAGTGAGGAACGCCTAATTGGTTTGGTTGAAAATGCACAGTTGAATGATTTGCTGCACAAGGATTCATCCACTTCAAAGCAAGTGGCAGTACATGTATCGAACAATGGATTCAAGGTGTTTTATTTTGATATTTTCAGGTTTAAAGGGGAAATTATTCTGTGAAAAGTTTCTGTTTAGTTTGAGAAATGTTTGTTTTATGATATTAATTTTACTGATTTAGGAAGCTGCTGAATAATGTAAGGCATATGATTCTAGATAACGGACTTATCGTCTGGTAATGTACTGGATCGTGTTTCGTTGTTATGCGTTATTCAGTGTGTGTCATACGAGGATGACGATGGGAACAGCAATGTTGCATTTCTAGTTCAAAAACCGTTAAGTAGCCGGCTACAATGTCATTTATTCCAGACAAAATCTATTGCTGATGCTGATCATATTTGCGCATTACTTCAACAGGCTTTTACCGCAGCCGTGAACAGTGCTAAGGTTCAATGACAAAAAATTATGTATTTTACTTTATGTAATTTATTGATGTTATTAGGTGTTTAAATAATTACTTGGAATATAAAATTTTAAAGATAAATTTTTTTTACATCATTTTTGCAGTATTTTGAGAGTACAATAATTTTTTTTGGCGATATTATCGCATCTTTATACAATTGTCAACACTGATAAATCAATGGGTATTTTGCGTTTTCAAGTTTGGGCACAGGCTTCTACAGTGCAGCTTTTTCTGCATTTATACGGTTTTTCTGAGTAGCAGCGCAATTTCAGTATCTCAGAAATTTACGAATCATTTCTGGATGAAAGTGAGCAAGTATAACCCAATCATTATTGCCAATTTCTTTCCCTTTTAGTGACCGTTTCAATTTTGTTTTTCTTTTTTTTTTTTTCGAAAACGGTAAGGATTTCTGTGATGCACCTGAGAGACACCTAGGCAGAGACGATGGAGATTCACTTACAAACACATTCCTCTTCAAGTGTAAACAGCGAAGAGTGCATGACTAGAAAAATAAAACGGTTGCGAAATTCTATTCTAGTTACAAGCGTTTGAAACATATCGAGGCATTTGAAAGTGGTTTTCAATAAGGAAATCTTCATTTTTTTGAACATACTAAGAGTTTCTAGAAGGGCCTGATATCGATGATTCGCCTGACGGGTGCTTTTATATGCGGTACACCAAGGTGCTGGATAAGAGTTTATAAAAAAGTAGGATGATATAAGTTTTTCTCGACTGAGTTGAGTTTAAAGATAAAAGAAATCCGAGTAAGTTATATGCATAAGGAATTACCCTTTTTTGTAACCTCGGAGGAACTGGATATTACGTTATCGTCTTTCCATTGTTAGACCGGAAGTCGCTCTTAATACTGTCGACAAGAGTGTACAAATGACTTTGAGGATTTTGCAGCATGCTGTGTCTTGAAGCAGTGCTGCAAGAAAATCATCTCCTTCAAGACAGAAATGTTATTTTGCCTTTAACGTTTTTCAAAAAAGCTCTAATAAACTCAGGTCTTTATGGTTCATGTAGGGAAATGTCATATGTACAAAATTTTTTATCTGTAAATGTAACACAGAATTGACGATAAGTGATATTCCCACAATATTAACGGGACTTACAAATTCCTCCAGTTTAGTGCCCCAAGTACTTTCATTTTTGAAAAGAAATTGGTGAAAGTAAGATGAACAAATTAAATGCTGCTCGACGGTAGTGCATATTCTGAGAATTATTTTAATATAAGAAAAGCAAAAAATAAAGAAATGTAGACTTAGTTTTAGAAGAACAGCGCATAACTCAGCAACAGATTCGATCTGTGAAAAGTTATGAAAAATTTAATGCAGTAGAACAGAAACATATCTGCTATAAAAGTTGTTGTTTATAAGATTCAAGATAGCTTATATAATTTACATAAATTCGAGGGCACAGGCAAGCGCAATCGTTACTTGGAAACTCTAACAGAGCTAATTTAGAAGATTACAAACAGTTGAAATTTGTAAGATGTAGAAAGGAGACAACTTACACTCAGACTATTAAAGGTCATCAAGTGTCACGTACAATGATGTATTAAAACTGAGAGGATCGTAAGTGGACTCGGAAAGTTTCTGTTACCCGAAGTGGCTTTTACGTATAAACTACATAATCGTGAACGGAGAAAGATGATGCTGATTTTTTGGCTTTAGGTGGATAGATCAGTTTTGTCAGTTTTACAGACAAAAAAATTTTTTGCAGAGGTAAAAATTTTCTAAAGATTACTTTGAATCGGTTCATAGAGGAATTTTTAAACTATACACTTGAGGAGACTAATGTATGTTTTTCTTCATGTCGTGCTAGAAGAGTTTGGTAAGATTTGAAAAATAATAATGAGGTTATTGAGGTTGACTATTTAAGTGATTAAGCGGTAAAAAAAGTTTTATAATTCAATTTGTTTATTTTACTGAAATTTTGATAAAAAGATATTACATCACTTAAACAAAAGTGAAAGATAGAAAAAAATTTTTTTTTTTCAAGCGGTTTTCTGAATCTTACTTTTTTTAAAAACATTTTTCAATTAGATGTTCTAATAGTTTTTAAGTGAAGTTTCAACGCATTTACAGCAGTTTTTGTTCAACATAATTAATACAGAGCGACGAGCATTTGAATCGCAGTTAATTTTTGACTTTCTCAAAAAAATTATTTGTTCAATAAATCAAACACTTTTGTAAGTAGAATTTAAATAAATTGTTATTTCAGGCTTAACGCAACAAAATAATAATACAACCACAATTTTTTATACGTTATCAGATGTAAAATAAAAATGGGCCATTCGATGCCAAATGGCACTTTTTTTTCTTTTATATTTCAGATTTTTCAAAATGTTACTGATAGATAGAGTTTAGGCCAGTATACAGAAAGCCGGAAAAAAAATTTGGAAATGTGAACTTTTCGTTAAGCTACATTGTTGTCAAAGTTACAAAATTTGCCAGATTGTCGCTCGATATGCCTACCTTTGCAAGGTTGTAATTTAGCTTTGTCATAGTAAAATTTGGTAGTTTTTTGTTTCGCAAATTTTCTATCCTCTGAGCTTTTAAAAGTTTTTTGATTAGTTCATTTCTATTAAAAAGAATCACATAGTCAAGCAAATGTAGAAAAAATATACATTTTAAATTTTTTAAAAAAGGCATATCTTCTGTATAATTTTCTGTTTTACAAAACACCAAAATTTGGTGATAGCGTTTTTTTGGTATTGAAAGCTACGAGCCGGAATGCAATGTAAAACCGAAAGAACCCACTGTTTTTACAATAATTTCCATATATCTTACAATGACAAAACCGTCCGGAGCCGCTTCTAAAAGCCATGGCGAGATGATTCATTAGATGAACCATTCAATTCTATCGAAAACATGGTAAATTACAAATCTGCAAAACAATTGTTGTAAACTTCATAGTGTTCCTGAAGACTTTTTTTCTAAAAAACTTTCAGGACTACAAGTTTTTAAGTTTACAAAGTATGTTTACGGTACTTTCTTTAAATTCGCTAAGATTGATCTTTCGTCCTAAAATTCTTTTCTTTTTTTTTCCTCACTGAGTTTTGCTGCACAAAAATTACTCTTTTTTTTTTTGTCTAATTCAACAAAAAACTTTTGGTTTTATCTTTGTCTATCAGTACTCGCTTTTTTCCTGTTTAAGAGTTTTAAAGCAATTAAAATTTGATTTCTTTCACTTTATAATACCAACTAACTTCTACAGATATCTGATAGCATAAGAATAGTATGTAGCAGAAATTAATTTGTTCTTTTTTTCACGCTATTAAAATTGTCTTCCAAATAAAAAAAAAAGAATAAAAATGTTTTAAAAAGAATTCAAATAAAGTTATTTGAACTAACCAATTTACGCGTCAAAATCTTTTTAGGCGACATTAAACTGAAATGATCAAAAGCTCAATTAAGTTAATCTAACCTCAAGCAGTTGAAACCGTTAAACAGTCAATTTGGCAACTGTTAACAAGAATGGAACTGCTCTGAGGTCTTTTATCAAGTATTTTCTGTTCCGGTTTATACTTTTTCGAATGCTTGAATCAGCTGTCAGAAAATCTTTCTCATATTACATGTAGTGTTCATTTTTCTTCAAATAATTTATTTGCACTATTTAGGTGTTGTTGAATGCCCGTTGCATACAAACCTTTTGATTATTTTAAGACAACCCAATTGAGTTAACAACTTTACAACTGACCTTCATCATAAATCTGGTTGCTACACGTAGCAACTTTTGTTCTGCCGTCAAAATTATTCGTTTTACCTCTAATATACACTCAGTACACCAATCTTTTGAACAAAATTATCAAGCTTTGCTGAAGTTGTTCGGCATATTATAGACAATTCCAAGTAATTATGGAAAATCACTGTAGTCGCTATACACCAAATACTTTCAAAAAATCAACTTTTTTAGCTCTTCTACTATTTCAAAATAAAGCATCAAAAAAATTAGCCACCTAGCTACTTTCTAGTTTCATCACTGCTTAGTTTTCTTGAATAAGAAGCAGTAAAGACTCTAGTCAACCAATTATTTGTAACAACTTTGGAAATATTAAAGAAAGATTTGAAGAGTTCTGTACCACTGCAAATGCACTTTTTTCTTGTTGCAAGACGTAAACTGTTTTGTCTGATCTAATTAATACCTCTTATTATCAGGAAAAAAAAAAGAAAGCGCAAGATGACCACAAATATAAAATGAGAGCAGCGCATTTTTTACAAATTCAAAAGGTGCTATAAAAAGCAGTGTAAAACAACCTAAGTTGCAAATTTACAATAAATGACGGAATTATTTACGGTGTTGCAACTTACGTACTGCAGCAAAGTGCGTTAGGTACTAAGGTTTAAGACCAAAATACATTTTCGACAAATTGCCTCTTGCTCAGCAAGTTCTAACTTATTCTAACTGAAAATTATTTTTGCTACTTATAATGGTACATTTCTGTAATACTTAACCCCCAAAAGACATACTAGCTTTGAAACAATCATTCAGCTACAATTGACAGTAGTAACGAACTACTAAACAGAATCTGCACAAAGATCGCCACTCAGCATTATGATAATTTTAATGGTTACCTTTATTAATCTCTGTTTCTAAAATAGTACAGAATAAGTTATACTTCACACACCTTACACAGTACTTTTTGACCTTCTCGATAATTTAATGTAGAAAATCTCTAAAAAAAAATTGAACTGCTCTCATAAACTTTTTGCTTGTAAAAGAAATCAAAATTATAAAAATTTTAAAAAAATTATAAGGTTAACCAAGTAAAAAAATAAAACAATTGCAGCTTACAAGTCATCGAAAAGTAAAAAATACAAATTTTTTGTTTTGTCTTTCTACTTTTTTTTAAAAAGATCAGTTATGAAGAAAAAGGCTTTAAGCGTTTCGTTTTGTTTGTTTAAAAACAGTACAGAAAGTTTTATCAGACGTATTATTTTTAGGTGAATAACTTCGACAAAGAAATAAAATTTAGATACGAATATTA